GTGGTGGTTTGGGTGGGAGCCGATAGTTTCATCAAGGTCGCTCATCGCTTCCCGTTCTGTCAACCCGTCTCGTACCCTCCCCAACATCTCGCTTAGCGGCCCACCCTCCCGCTACGGACAGAGCGGCATCGGTGCCCGGTGCCATAGAGCTGAAGGGCACGCAGACGAATGCCAGCGCAGCCGCTACATACATCGGTGGGGATGGGGCTGTCAATTAGAAGGTCTCATTACGATAGCCACCCCCGGGCAATTGCGCCCGGCACGGAACGCATCAGCCAGCGATGCAGGAGAAACGCGGGGGGGGGGGGGGGTGGAATAATGATCTTAACTTACTGCTAACAGCTGGCCTGCTTGATGAAGGATGCTAATAGTGCACATACTGGCGAAACGATCCGAGGGATATCAAACGAGCTGTATTTTTAACGGCGCTTCATTTTGCCGACATATGTACCGTTTTAATGAGCAGCCCACACAAAGCGTCTTGTTTCAGTCGCAACTTTTAGCACGCAAAACTCTTGGACGGTGCAATGTTTCCCGCGACTCGCGCGGCTAAACGAACAAAACTGTTTCTACCCCCCACCACCCTCCACCCGCCCACTTGCGCTCTCGTTATTTCCCCAATCGTGCCACATCGTTAGACAAAGTCCCCGTTCGGATCTTTCAAAGATGATTTGCAACCCTCCGCGTTAAGAGAACGGTCCGAAGGAAGTGGATGCCGCAGAGCTACCTCTGAGAACGCTTTCAAGGGACCTCCGTTCCACAGACCAGGGGCACATCGCGTTCTCGCCGGCTCTGCCACTGCGCGTATGGTTTGCCACGTGACAATTAAACCGACATTTTTGAAAATTCTCACAAGCTTGAATTCACCTGTAGCGCGGAACCACGCTTTAATGTGATGGCTTTTGTGTGTGCAATCATTGGTGGCCGGGCCACGGCCATTAACTCGCTCCATTTGAGATCCCGGATTAATCACAGGTGGCTGTCTGGATCCGAACCCGGGATCTCGGCTGGGCCAGCTCAACTCGCCGACCTCCGAGCCACTGGGCCCCCTCAAGCGTGTGCTACACTGTTCAAGAATGTCTCCATCTGAAATGTTATACCCTACTCCTCATACAAGGCGACTAAGCAGCAAGTGGATGAGCTGGTAGTCGGGAGAACATCTGCTTTTCGTTCTGACATCATTCTGTCTTCCCGTGCTGCCACTGCACACACGAGGAATGGGTCACGTGTACGTCGTCCGCTCGCTCTCTGGGCAGCACTTCCGCTGTGGTCAGGGACTCCCTGGGAGGAACTGGTTCGGAGGTGGGAGGAAGACTTCGAGGTTAAACCACCGCAGGCAATAGCCGACGCGCTGCTGCTGTGCTGTTGCTGCTGCTGATGACGCTGCTGTTGATTATAATATTATGATGCTGCTATCAATGATGCTTATAGTGTTCATGCTATTCTTGCTACTGATGATGATGATGATGCTTCTATGCCTTTTGCAGATGATGATGACCATCATCATAATGATGGTGCTCCTGGTATTGCTGCTGATAACAATCTGTTGCTGCTGCTGATGATGACGGTGATGATGATGATGATGCGTACAAAGACCACCCGTGTAGACTGTTGGGGCAAGCGCTGTGAGCGAGCAGCACCTATGAAGGCCGGAACAGCACACGAAGGGGCTGGGTGGCCAACACCGCGCCCGACCGCCTTTGTCTCTCCACTGGCGATGATTTTACACACCGCACCCAGGTACTCATTTGGGGCCGAGTCGACCTAGGGGAGGCCGAGGGCAGATTCCGACAATCGTCACGCTGGGCGTTGGCCTTGAGCGGCAATCAAACTCACACACACACACACAAGCACACACGTGGTGCGCGACTCGCGCGCGCACAGCCAATGGCGGCGAAGCAAATTGCTGCGATTTAAAAAAAAAATATTTAGTTAAATTTCGATTTGAAGCTTTCGTGACTGCAGGGATTCATCTTCTTGGTTCTTTCGGTAAAGTCACGTAGAATGGAAATAATAAAATAATAAAAATATAACATGATAAAATTATTCTCACGACGTTTCGGCCACAACGCAAGCAGCCGTCCTCAGACGGAGAACAGGTCTGTGGATAAGACAGATAAGACAGAGTCAGACTCTGTCTTATCGACAGACCTGTTCTTGACCTGAGGACGGCTGCTTGCGTTGTGGCCGAAACGTCGTGAGAATTATTTTATCATGTTTTATCTTTATTATTTTATTATTTCCATTCTACGTGACTTTACCGAAAGAACCAAGAAGGAAAAAAAATAGTTAGTTTGTTCCACGTGATGCTCGCTATCGACCCCCCGTTTCGCGTACCCGTGCCACGCCCGCTCCGAGCCACCATCGGCGATGTCGCCGCGGACGTGGAGACGTCCCAGATGAGTGGCGCGTCACTCTCCTGCGTCTCGCCGAACGCAACTTTGCTGTCTTGAGAAAAGTGGCAGGACGAGTGTTGGGGGGGGGGGGGTTCCATGGTGAGTGACAGGGAGTCAGGTCTGAGCCATCTGTGCTTGAGTCGTTTTCTCCAGCGCAGCGAATCGATGGTCTCAGCCCAGCCACTTGGGACCGCGCAATAAAAGGATCGCACTAATCGCCGCTTCCGTACTCTGTGTGATAACAAAACAAAACAAGTTTTGCTGGCTGGAGGGTGTGAGGGATGGACGGTCTCATGCCCCATCCAAAGGACGTGGGGGCTGCTAGTTTTATATAAATGTTGGCTTCTTACAGCTCTGAGAATGAGAAGTTGCGGTTTAACACGTGACCGACACTCTCGTCGTGGTTTGTGAAAGGTGTGATCTACGTGTCGATAAGGAAGCCTGTTGAATTGACTTCAGAAGTAGTTCTGTACGGTCAACTTCCACGGCGATATCTGCACCGCGATCTATGAGAGTTCTGCGTGTAAATGCCTTTATCTCTTGGCACGATGCCCATAGCACAGCTTTAATATAACTTAGAAAACACCAATCCACCGAAGCTCCCTTCAAACGAGCTGCGTTCATTGCTCCGTCTCTGCTGAGGACGTACTCTCAGTGGTGTTCCGAGCAGTCGCTGTCATTCTACAATTATTCTCAACCATTGGCCATCATTTGTCCGTCAACGTAATCCAAAGGCATGCGTCTGTCCATGCTTCTTTGTGCACACTGAAGTTTTCTGTTCATTTTCTTCATTTACGCCCACGTTTCTGATTCATACACCACAGCAATTATAGTCTTGTGCCCGCTCATGCGGTTCCATTTCAACGAGGAGGTGTGTACAGTCTGTCAAGGCAAATACAAAAGATGCCGCTGTGCAGCCTGTAACAGACTGTTGGGGCAAGTGCTGTTTGCGAGCACCTATGAAGGCCGGCACGGCAAGGGGTGGGTGGCCAGCACCACGCCCGGCCGCCTTTGTCTCCCCAGTGGCGATGTTTACACACCGCACCAGGTACTCATTTGAGGACGAGTCGACCGAGTCGAAGCCCAGAACCGGTTCGACTATTGTCCACTGTTATTGGCCGTGAGCGGGGAATCGAGCCCGGGTCGCCGGTTTCATAGCGAAGTGCTCTAACCAATGCGCCACCGCTCCCACAGTGTAAACGGTGTTGACACGCAGCCTATCACGGTGTCAGAAAAGCCAAGTGAGTGGTGTGCTGGGTGCACCTCCGTATGTGTGTTGAACTTCATATCGCACCGTACGTAGCCGACCATGCGATCGAGCCGTGTTGACAGGCATCGTGTCCTTGCTGTTGTCACACAGCTTGAAAACAAAAACACGTGGAAATCTGTCTTCGTCCCCACTGATTGCGAGTGGATGCTCTTCCTTCGGCTCTGCCCAGCCGTGATTGGCAAGTGGATAATGACACGGGACAAGCACTCAAGATCCAAATAACCAGTATTTGTGCAAAAGTGTCTTGAGTGGCAAATCTAGAATGTCATGTTGAGAAAAAAAACACGTGGAAATGTGAGATTGTTTTTTGAAGGGGGTGGGGGGCAGACGGTTAGGTGGAGGAAATGTGCAACTCTCCATCACAATTTATCCACGCGCGCGAGAGAATTCAACAAAGCGCGACATCCCTTCAACGGTGGAAACCCTCAAGCCGGCGAGTCGAGGTCACGAGGTCATCATGGCCAATGCTGTCGATTGCACCACACCAACGCCATCGATCTCTCTTTCGTTTGCTGCTTCCGAAAGTTGTTGCAAAGTCGAGCACTGTCCTTCAGGGTTCGCTCCCACATTCTGATTACCGCCACCGTGAACAACACTTGGGTGCCACTCCAACGTCGCCTCGGTAAAAAATCTAAACCTCCTCCGCCCCGCACACACACGTCCCACCAATCGCAACCTCCGCTCCCTGATTACAAATACTGTGCGACGCTCTCCCGCAATGTTGAGTATCCCAAACCCCAAGTTGTGTTAACAGTGTTAACACCCGCCACAACCTCGTCTTACTGCCTGTCTTAGAACACTTCTCTTCCGCCTTCCATTTCCAAACTTCGAAAGTTGCTTTTCCCATCACCTTCCACCCCGCACACAACGTGTTCCAGTCATCGCGAGCTGCGAGCGAGCGAGCGAGCGAGGTTCAATCCCGTAGGACGTGATCGGATCGGGATTCGCGAACACGGCCCCCCGCGTCGATCCACCCTCGGGGGTTCACCGCTGGGCAGCGTCAGCCCGGCGAATCGTCGTCGGTGCTGTGCCGCGCATCCCTCTCGGCCTGCGGTGTCCCAACGACTGGCTTGCACGCTCCGGAGTCTCCTTGGTGAAGTGCGCGGAGCGGAAACGTCGGACATCGTGCCAACCAACACGCCGAGTAGCAAAGGTTGGCCACGTACGTTCAACGGACGTGCGTACTGACAAGAAAAGCGCATCGGAGAGGCCTCCTTGTGGGTTGTGTGGGGGGGGGGGGGATTTCCCTTCCTCAACCCTTTCATGCCACGCAATGTGTTATCCACGATGCATCGGTGACTACGAAGTGTGTCATTGCATTGTTCCATGCTCACCTGTTGGCCGAGGTATGGAGAGTTGTTCAACATCAGCCCTGGCGGTTGGGGGGGAGAGGGCAGAGAGAAAGAGAAGAGCGATAAATAAACAACAGAAATTACACGCGCAAAAACACACACGGTAAACCCCTGTTTTCATGCAATTAGATTCTGTAATTGCCCGCCGTCTCGGCATTCAATATTTTGAGAGCGAAAAAAACATCAGTGACCTGTGTCTAATCCTTCCACTCCGGCGCACGTTCGCGCTGTTGAAACAGCCTCAACGTGGCTATTGATAGTCTCTAATTGGCGCCGGGTAATGCGCGTTATTTCAAAACAATACAGCTCGGAGCCTCGACTGTAATAGACCAACATCGTGCCAGCCGGCCCGAGGCATTGCCACCCAGTCTGCGCGGTGCAATAATTCCAGATTGAAATCCAGACTGAAACCCGCAATATGCGCCTGTGACCTCGTCACCCAGAATGCATCGCGGCTCGTCAGATCTCGGAAGCTGAAGCAGGCTACGAGCCCGAATCGTGCTGTGATGGGTGACCGTCATGCATAGCATCCCATTATTGTACCGGACTTATATGCTCCCGATGTCTATGCTGAGGAGTGCTTTTACCAACACGCAGTGACCAGCCAGCGTTGTCAAGTGCGGTCACATGACCCCCGCGGGGAGGCCCCTCATCCAGCAGTGGATTGACAAGGAGGGGGGCTGTTCCTGTAATATACATGCACGGATGTAATTTGGATTCGTATGAACCGAGATATTTCTCCCACTTCTAGGCTGGAAACACGGTGACCGAGACACATTGTACGCTTTGTTGGGGAATGCGAACAGTGGCTCAGCGACTTGGGTACTCTTAACGAAGTTTAGGGTCGCGTGTTTTGGGTCGTGACGCCACTGGCTGTCCTCGTTCGAAAGAGCGTTGAAACCATCACGTTTAAAATGCATTCCTTCCCGGTGAACTGTTCACACAAAAAAATGTGAATGGTGCGTGGTCATTTATAATGTTTAGTTTGGTTTTATGTAATTGCATCATCGTTCATGCAGATTGCTTCTCTCACACCTCGCTGAGGAATTATGGAGGAGTTCGAAGGCAGCCGGCCAGGCATCGAGCCTGTGCTACCAACAATTGCCCAAGTTCTGCAGTCACCTGTCTATGAAGATGTTTTCAGTCAAATAAAATGAGTGTTTATACACGCGCGTACATTTCTGAATGTCAATTCTCTGGAGCTATACAGTACATCGCACGGCTAAAAATAGTTGTTTTGCTGGAAATGAAGTTAATGAAGTAAAATAAATTCTACATTAGTAATATAATAATACAAGTAAAATATAAATAAAGTAATAGATACAATCATTGCTTTGTTAATTTAAGTTAAAAAAAAATTGTTTTATCACTGCGGTACCGTTTGTTTGCTGTTCACAGTTAATTTATCTCCAGCTCGAGTTCCATCGATGTTGCGTTAACGATATTAGAACGTTCGACTGCACACTCGTAAGTTTCCCGCATTGCTTTGTTGTAGCCCAAAGCTCCTCTGATAAAATTAAATTCTTTCTCAGGGTCTCTGTGCCTTACCTGACATACAGTAAAAAGTAAGAATAATAATAATATATAAAACACCACACACCGGTATGTCACGATGCAGGGTGAGATCCCATTATCGTCTGCACGTTCTGCAGGACACGTAACGTATGCAGGTGTGGCTGTTAATGGCTCGGAGAATAAACGAAAAGTAAAAAAAAGAATCTGGTTTATCCAGCTCTCATTTCACTCTCCTCGAGGGCAAGGCTACGCCCGCGATGAAACGCATTAAAAGAAAAAGGAATGGATATATAATGGAACAACGGCTTTCTCCGAGAAATCCTCGGTCGTAAATTGAATAATATATCTCGTATCGCTCTCCACGTTTTAGGTTACGTTTTTCGAGCGTAGAAAAAATATCTGCAATAAATATCTCGTTGCTAACAGTCCCTTTTTTTCGAGAGAGAGAGAGCGTTCTATCGTCGTTTGACGAATGCATAAGTACTGTACGTTCCCACTTTCCTCTGCACAAAGCACCCCCCCCCCCCCCCCACCGGCGTGGCCACCTCGAGACGACCTCGAGAGGGCGTCCGCCAAGGAGATGGAGCGCAGTGACGGACTGGGAGTAAACAATAACAAAATCACCGCGGGCATTTTGTAAACAAACCGGGCCCAAATTGCCGCGCGATTTTCATTGGTACCATTTGGGGCTGGGTCCAAAAAAAGAACACAGATGGGACCTGTGAGGAAGAATCTTGGGAGCTGCTGAATATGTTGGAAACTTAATGGCAACTGAGAGCGTAAATAAGCCATGAGGAGTACACATTAGAGGTAATAAAATACTTTAATCAAAACATGTTTTATATAGATATTTTTTTTTTAGTCTGATCACACTTGCAATTTCCCCACACCGACCGACACACCGGCCCTCGGAATGAACCGACCTCACCGGGCATTAGCCCTATAGCCAATCTGCAGGTTGCTGCATCGCAAAGCTCGTGAGAGGTGACAGCGCCATTGAGGAGGCCTTCATCCGGCAGTGGATTGAGCATGGCCGCTGTTTCTGCTGCTGCGACCGCCGCAATGGATGAATGCAGGGGATGCTCGCTTCCTTTTGTGTCTCTGAGACACAAAGCGGCGCTCGCATCGGACACGAGCGATCGATGGTGTGTCCCCTCGCTTCGCAGTTGCTGGGCTTTATCCGAGACGCAAGCTCAAGCGAGGCTTTGTTGTGACACTCAGAGATGAAGAGGGCAGCAGGGCAGATTGAGAAGGAAAAAGTTTGTGTAAAAAGATATTCAAAAAATATATATATGTAAACGTGTGTTCTCCAAGGCAGTGGAGAAGTCACGGTGACCGTTAATGGTTTGTTTTGTAGGACGGAAGGACTTTCTAATCAAAGGCACGACCTTTATCAATCCAACTGATTCCCAGGATTATTCGTTGGTCGGTTTGTTTGGCCAATTCCATTCGTGAGTGTTTTGCTTCTTGTGGGAGGAAAGCAGAGCGCCTGGAGTGAACCAAACCCACGATGAACGTGTCCCACGATCAGATTCAAGGATCCAGTGACATCTCCTGGCCACCTCACAACCCAAGCCTGCCAAACCGGCCAGGCTCAAACCGGCTTAGCCTTATTTGCCCCTGACGGCATTGTCTGCATTGAGGGCGATCCGGTCGTGTGCCGTTTCCTGTTCATACAAGAGGACAACATTCTGGCCTGATATTTCACAGCCCCAACATGTTGTCTGCGAGGAGTTTCTCTCACTAAAGCGACTGCATTGCCGGTAACACAAAAACAACGTCTTGTTTAAAAAAAAAGGACGCCTTCTCTTGGATAATCTGTCGTTAAGGTGGGCGTGGTGGGTTCGGGAGGGTCAAGACGGGCGATCAAATGTCAGGGCCAACGGCTTTACTTCTAATGAGGCATACAACCCTTGGAATAAACCGCGCCCATTGAACGCGACCATTACATTTGGAACAAGGTGGGGGTTCAAAAAGTTCAGCTCAAACAACAACAACAACAAAAAAACCCCGTGGCCAAACGCGCATTAGGAAGGCGCGGGCAACACGAAGTGGAAACTTTGTGCGAGCGTGTAGAGCCGTGAGCAAGAAGGTGACTTCGCTCTGCGAGCTTCAAACAATAAAACATTTCCACAGATCTGTTGCCGAAGCGTACAAAGTTTTGATGTCTCACCTTGTTCAGCCAGAACAATGGGGGTGGTGGCACGTGATCTGGATTCACACACTTGGCCATCGACTGTTGTGGAACAGGATTCTTTTTTCGTGGGCACAGCCAGAGCTCGTTTGATATCAAAAAATAAATAAGCACGCGATAATGGGCCGTCCATAAATGACGTCACGTGATTTTGGACGATTTTTTGACCCCTTCCCCCAATCGTCACAAAAAGTCAGACCCCCCCTCAAATATGACGTCACAAAGCTTTGAAGACGATGGCCTGTGTTGTTATCGAAACGTTGTGATTTATTTTGTTTTATTTCTACCTACGTGACTTACCGAAAGAACCAAAGAGCATGTATGTTGAACTTGCTTCGCGCCGTTCGTAGCCAACCTTGCTCATCGTAGGTGCGGGGGAAGGACAACAAACTAAACAGAAATAAATCAGTTCGAAAGAAATTCGTTTTCAATCGAGATGTATAAGTGCATAGTTGCAGCGGCTTACCAATACCCCGTCGATGCCGTCCTAAAAGGTGCGACGGATATCGAAACGACCTAAATCAAAGCGATGTACAGGGCAGTAGGTGGTGGTGGAGGCGAAGGCTGAGGCAACGGATATCGAGAAATGACGGACGATGCTGACAGCGACGTAAGCGTGGGGGTTGAGCCGACGCAAATCGGTTGGTGGGATTAATAAGTGACGACTTATTTGCGAAACTACGTACAGGGGAGGAGACGTAAAACGGGGCCAGACGGATATACATCACGTAAGAGACACCGCTGATATATTTTGTTCTAAAGCTTAGGAGATCTGACGCTACAGGGCGCATACTTCGCTGGTCTCGTCAAGGATCATAGATCATCACGCGAACTCCGATCATATTCGCAGCGGCGCCTTTTGACGAGCCCATCGAAACAAAGACGGTGGGCACCTCATCGCGCGCTTTCAAAAATCCGCTTCTGCGGCGGTCTGGAACGCTCTTCCCATATTAGGAAGCCACAGGAGCCATACATTTTTAAATCCTCTAGATTGAAAATGAATTTCCCCAGAACTGCTTTTTCGTGCGTGTTTAGTTGTGTTGTCCTTCCACCGCACCACCCTTCGGCACGGTTGGCAACGCACGGTGCGAAATAAGTTCCACGTGACTACCCTTGGTGCTTCGTGATCACGAGCCGAGACGCGAGTGATCTCCTCCCTCTCCCTGGACGCCGAGCGCACTGCCCCTGGCACGGTCTTCCTGGACGCGGTCGTATCTCTACTGCACGTCCAGGGTCCGAATGGCTCGTTCAGACGCACTACACCGATCCTCTGGCGCCCACGCGCTTGCCTCTCTCTTAATGGGGAGGCAA